TTCACTTGTGGTTTCACCTTCATCATCTCATCCAGACGAATGGATTTTGGATTCAAGATGCACCTACCATATGTCTCCCATAAGGGAGTGGTTCTTCAATTTTCAGGAGACCAATGGAGGGGTTGTCTATATGGGTAATGATAATGCCTGTAAGACAACTGGGATAGGTTCAATTTGTCTGAAGAATCGCGATGGTTCCACCAGAGTTTTGACGGATGTTCGGTACGTGCTGAGTTTGAAGAAAAACCTCATCTCATTAGGAGCCTTGGAATCCAAAGGCTTGGTAGTGACTTTGCGAGATGGAGTTATGAAGGCTACATCCGGCTCGCTCGTGGTGATGAAAGGCATAAGGAGGAATAATTTGTATTAATATGAAGGTGATACGGTTGTTGGGACAGTAACAGTAGCAGATTCCACCAACAAGGAGTCTGAAGCAGTCAAGTTATGGCATATGCGGTTGGGACATGCTGGTGAAAAGTCCTTGCAAACATTGGCAAAACAAGGACTGTTGAAAGATGTCAAAGTGTGCAAACTAGACTTTTGTGAGCACTGTGTTTTGGGAAAGCAGAAGAGAGTGAAGTTTGGAACGGCTATCCATAATACCGAAGGTGTCTTGGATTATGTTCATTCGGATGTTTGGGGACCTTCTAAGACCCCATCATTAGGCGGAAGACGCTATTTTGTCACTTTCATCGATGACTTTTCCAGACGTGTTTGGGTGTACACTATGAAGACGAAGGATGAAGTGCTTGGTGTCTTCATTACATGGAAGACACAAATAGAGAACCAGACTGGAAGGAAGATCAAGGTCCTACGAACGGACAATGGTGGAGAATATAAAAGCGATCCCTTTCAAAAGGTTTGCCATAAAAATGGCATTGTTAGGCACTTCACCGTTAGAAGGACACCACAACAAAATGGGGTGGCGGAGCGCATGAATCGAACATTGGTGGAGAAAGTTCGATGTATGTTGTCCAATGCTAGTTTGGGCAAGGAGTACTGGGCTGAGGCTGTAACATACGCGCAACACCTCATAAATCGTTTGCCGTCATCTGCAAAAGATGGTAAAACATCGTTGGAGGTTTGGTCGGGGAAACCTGTTGCTGAATATGGATCTTTACATGTCTTTGGGTGTCCTACGTTCTATCATGTGAAGGATTCAAAGTTAGATCCAAGAGCGAAAAAGGCTTTGTTCATGGGAATCACAATTGGCGTGAAGGGATATCGTCTTTTGTGTCTTGAGACGAAGAAAACTGTGTTTAGCAGGGATGTTACATTCGATGAATAAAGTATGATGAAGACGATGCAAACCCAACAGGTGGAGTTGACACCGAAGCAGGTGGAGATAGATGCGATGACGAGACAACCAGCTATGATCGACGAAACAATATCAAACGATTCGTCGGATGATGTAGTTCAGACTCATGAATCATTAGATTTACCCATTACATTGAGAAAGCCTAGACGAG